GTGGTCACCTGGGATTCCACCATTGATGCTGAACCTCTGTCAAAGGGACATCAGCACAAAAGACAGGACTCATCGCTCTGACCATGCCTGGAAGCTGGTCAGTTCACACACAGCGCAAGTTTCAACCTGGTTTCTTCTTATTGCCAAACCAGACTGGTAAGGACCTGGGAGTCCTCTTATACAGACCTGCTCTAGTCAGGAGGCTAGCTGGTCTACACACAGGGAAAGAATTACTGGATTCTCACTGTAATGCATTGCCGTCCCCTGCTTATGTCTATGGTCGTATCCTTTGCTATATATTTTGCCGTTAAGTTCAGTAGCAGTTTGTCCAGCTGACTGGATGTATACTGAGATTCTACTAGTACTTCTTTACTTTGCTTATGTAGGCATTTTAAGTATTCTCCATGGTTACTATCATTAAGTTAACTTCCTCTTAACCTAGGCCGTTTTGTCTTTGGCTGGCATCTTCTTGAATCTCAAGCCAGGTGATCTATGACTAAACCATGACGTCTGTGTCAGAGCACACTCCATTATGAAGGACATTCTCACCTATTCATCCACTTTGGGGAGTTACCCCTATTGAAGGGATGTTATGTTTCAATGGCCCCTAGGCTTTTGGGCCACTACAAACTCTACATGGCATGGGTCAATTCTCAGTAGCTAAATGGCCTGCCCTGCAAAGGAGACATTGCCCGCTCAGAAGGAAAATGGTATTGCTGGAAACCAAACCCTCACGTCCTTATACTCCTTGAATGTTATGGGATATGGACTTGAAACCAGTCACCACGGGTCCCATCATCATTAGCCCTGACCCAGCTGCTGTACTATATAAGGATTTAAGCCAAACCTTAAATTTCCCTCTAGGAAAAAAATCTCTATACAGACTTGGTGGTAACTGCCCAATTGTCAGGTTCGTGATGGAACCTCCATGAATGAGGAATGGCCCTGGATGGGGATGAGCCTAGATGCTTATTCTACATTGCAGTGGACCCAAAATCTCATTGAAGAAGGTGAAAGATGCCAAAGCTGGGTCCTCAGGTCACAGGTACTTGGAAACTAATGTATTCTTTGGCTAGGGCTTAACCACACCCAGTGGAGAGACCCCATGTAGAATGCTGTTCTGGAATGCCACCTGGTGGCCAGGTATACCTACTTGGTTTTGGGGCACCTAATCAAAAGGGGACAGGGACTAGGGGTCTTATATGTATAGGGTCTCAAAAGACACCACCTCTGTTTAACCATACAAGCCCTGACACTACTCAGGCTAGCCCATTTCAAGGCATTCCAAGTCCATTAATTCTGGGCTAATCCAGCCCACACACTAACTGTAACTGAAAAGCACCAAATGGACTGTTTTGGATCTGTGGAAGAATGGCATAAACCCATCTCTCTACCAACTACGGAAGGACCTGTACTACTGGAATAATTCAACCTGGTTTCTTATTGCCAAACCAGACTGGTAAGGACCTGGGAGTCCTCTTATATGAAAATTTAGGGTCAAGGAAAGAAAGGTACATTGGAAAGGGAATTAACCTTGAAGGGCAACAAAGTTGGAGAATGAATGCATCATTTTTGCTTGGAGGATGGGTTTCCGGTTTTGGAAGTTTTAAGAGCTTGCTTGACACAGTAATACTACTGTTAGGAATCTGTTAGTGCCTTGTCTGGCTCCCCTCTGTATGTATGTATTACTTCTTCTATAGAAGCCACTATGGAGAGACCCACAGCCCTGGTCATGGCATTATATGGGCCCCAGATTAAGATAAGATTCCACAGTTTAACTCTAGGTTAAATGAGTCCCAAAGACGGGACTGACGTAGAGCCCGATGGAGGACTCGAGGAAAGTAAGGATTTTAATCCTTGCTTTCTCTTGTGTCTATACCAACTTGTCAGGAGGATGTCTGCTGACAGGCTTTGTGGTTGGAGACTTCTGCAGAGACTTTCAGGCAGGATTTTTTTTTCAGCCATTTGTTTCTTTTTCTAAATTTTTAATTTACCTGATTTTGAGATTTTAATGACAGTCAATCAATATTTAAATTTCCCTTCCAGGTCCAGACTTGGGGCTTGAGCCTGCTGGACAAGGCTGTAGCCTAAACCTGCGTCCTGTTCAATCCCAGCATCCCCACCACAGCACTGGTGGACACACTTTGCTTGGCACATTGGAACTGTACCATAGTCCACATCTGGGAAAGACTGCTGATGACTTCTCCCCTACAGAAGCCTGCATAGCACCTTCTTCCATGAGCCAGCAGGGAGGAAGTGTCTCTAGCTCACTTCTAGCTTGATGTCTCTGTGCTCTGTGTCCAAAGTGTATGGTGCCTTGAATAATAGGGTCTTATGGTGTTACTGGGTCAAAATAGTTAAACCTTAATAAACAGTCTGATTTTTCATTTTAGTTATGAGAATGGGCCCAAATTGGAGGGCATCGTTCCTTCAGGTGTCTCCTGGAACAGTGCTGTTGTGCCAGGCAGGCCTCACCTATAATTTTAATCAGAACCATTTCTCCAGCTTCAATTGGGGACTACAAACTTGGATCCACCACTCTCTTATCAGACAATCTTGCTCTTTCATTCCTAGACCCAAGACACCTCATATACACAATGTCAAGTATCCTTCTCAATCTTCAGTTTTCAATGAAGATACCAACACGAATGTACCACCTTTCAGAGCTTTGACTTGTTAATTCTCAAGTACACTTACATTTATTCATTCACTATCTTGGACAAAGTGGGGTTTGGAAGGATCAAGGTCAGGTCCCCAGGTCCTAAGTGCACATGGTCAATGAGTCTGTCATAGCTTTTCGGCTGCAAAGTTAACTAAAAGTCATTAGTCCAAATTCTGTCCATTTTGTAAAAATATCATTCCTACAGGGTCTTAGTTCTGGTGGGTAATGAAGAACAATGGTAGTATTGTTTCAGAAGCTTCTGGGGGCTCTCTGACCAGCAACTCAGGAGTATGTCTCATATCTGGTAACCTGCCCATGCTCCAGTAAATAATCCCCTACACATGTTCAAATAGGCAACCCAAATTAAACTTAGTGAAACAAAAACATAAAGCAGGAAGGGGGATTAGTTGGGACTGGGTAAGAAAGTAATGCAGAGTGAATATGACCATAATAGGTATGCCTGTATGAAACTGTCCAAAAAATATTTTAATTATGTGTGTGTGTAGGTCATAAAACTAGAAGGGGATCAGGAAAGGAGAAAAACAGGTAACTGCATCTGCTTTACTTTTCAAATAATACAATCTTCAGTAAATGTGGCATATGTGCTGCTTATACAAGTGATATAAGTCCTCCTGATTCCACCATGGCTGCCCCAGTATTGCTGGTTGCTCAGTATTTACCAGCAAACCACTAATCTTAGAAGAGTAGCTCAGTGTAGGCTGTATTGTGACTTGAATAAGTTCTACCAACCACTCACTGGCTATAAGACCTTATCCCTTCTTTTCTTTTCTTTCCCAACCCCCCACCAACTCTCTTATCAACCCATAGAAATTCCTGCAAAGAAAGTGTTAATGAAGATCCATCAAACCTTACATTGGGTAGTATAGTTTTGGATCCAAGAGCCATACATACCAGGCAGCACTTGTGGTCCAGCTCAGAATCAGTATCTCAGTATTTAGCAACACCAAATATTTGAAAAATAAGTGAAAATGAACATTGTTAACAAATAGGAAGGGATCAGTAAGAAATAGCTATTCTTACAATGCTTTACACAAGGGGATTGGCCCCTTCTCTTACAAGTCTCAAAACAAAACTTTCTCCCTTGCCTCCATTGCTAGGAAGAAGCTACCTGAGGTTATGTTACGCATCACAGAAAGGAGTGTATCTAAGAAAGATACCAGGCACAAGAAACAGAGAACAGGGACTGCAACACAGGGAATAGGCAAACAATTCCCAGGCTGTGGGGGAAGGAGATTACGGGACAACAGCTCTACACCAGCCACAGGAGACAAGTCCAGAAAACAAGGCTGACTGTTGAAGAGCCATTCTTCAAGACAAATTAAACTGACGAAATCACTGATCACGGGGAAGTACAGAGACGACAGTCATGGACCTGGCACCCAATTATTAACACTCGGAAGTAAAAATTTAAGACAGAGGGAGAAGAGTCTATCACTCAGCTATGAACAATGATTATATAATCTTAAGACTAAATGGAGCAATCAGTGTCAACAGTGAATTACAATAGCTATGTTGGGAGGTGAGAAGAAGAATGTGCCCCACTGGGAAGAGGGAACTTTCTGTTTGGAATAAGGGAGTAATACTTAAATTAGAAAAATCAAATAAAAGCAATATAAACATGCTATTTACAGCAATAAAAAACAAAGCCTACCAGCTAAGCGCTTAAAGTGTTAAATTAGAAAAATCAAATAAAAGCAATATAAACATGCTATTTACAGCAATAAAAAACAAAGCCTACCAGCTAAGCGCTTAAAGTGTTTGCTGTAGAGATAGAAAAAAGCCCAAGTAGTGGTATTTTTCCTTAGAAAAGAAAATCCTATAGATTTGATTTTACAAATTATGTATGTATGTAGTAAGTAACTTGAATAAAAAAACAATCTATAATCAAATAAAAGCAATATAAACATGCTATTTACAGCAATAAAAAACAAAGCCTACCAGCTAAGCGCTTAAAGTGTTTGCTGTAGAGATAGAAAAAAGCCCAAGTAGTGGTATTTTTCCTTAGAAAAGAAAATCCTATAGATTTGATTTTACAAATTATGTATGTATGTAGTAAGTAACTTGAATAAAAAAACAATCTATAAAGCACAAAATCTAGCACGCTATCAGGCTCATAAAATTTCATAACTTATTTTATTACTGACAAGACAATTTTTTCATATCAATATTACACTCATGCAGGGTAACAATACTTTATTATAAATGCTACATGATTTTCTATGCTTTGAATAATTAAGCATGCTTAATAAAATAAAAATTATATAAACTTTTTACTGGGTAATTTTATACAATTTACACACAATTTTTAATGTTAGTAATATAAACAAGGACATTACTTTACTTCTTGATTTTTAAAAGTTACAAGACTAACCCTGAAGACATGCACTACAACCGTGGAATAGATTCTGTCATCTTATTATGGTCTTGGCATCTTATTATGTTCACACTTAAGACCTACTTACTAAAATAAAAACAGATGAACAAGAAAGAGGTCAGAAAAAGGGAGTACAAATAGCCAATAGTAACACTGACATATCAACCTCATTTGTAATGAAACAAATGCAAATTTAAAATATGACATCACTTTTTACTTATAAAGCCAAGAAAAAACATAGGGAAAGGAGGAAAACAAAGCAAAACGTAAAAACAAACCAGCAAACCTTCAAAAACAAAACCAAGGTAAAACCTACAGTTGACTGAGAATACACAGGAGGCAGTTGGTCACACAGACTTTACAAGAACAATGTGGTAATATACACCAAGCTCTGCTTTTTAAGTCCTTAGAACCGGTCATTCCACTTCTAAGAACTCTCTGAAGGACACGATGAAGCATGAACCTCACAGCACAGAGCTCACTGCTCACACCAATGACACAATCAAAGGTTCCAACAGAGAAATGAGCACATTATAGCGCATCTTTCTCCTGCCAGGTAGTAAGCTCCACTTCAGTGCCATTCTCCCAAACCTGCTTTAGCTTTTTCTTCAATAGTCTATTCTTAACAGTGGTTCTTGAAAAAAGTCAGAAATTAGCATGGGATTACATGCTAGTTGCTGAAAAGTGAGGGAAAATCTTTTGGGGGTTACTAGGAAGTCTTCCTCAGGGATAAAACAAATGCCATGACTTTATGAAGGTAAGATGTAAACTCAGAAGTTACAACAGCAGTTTTTTGGACTGAGGCTAAGACGAAAAAAGAAAAAAAAAGCAATTTCAATGCTAATGAGGAATCAGACCTTGTGCTATGTGCGATACAGATGCTCTTGCTTCCTTAAGCTTGTATTTGGACACTGTTACCCAACTGTTATTAGTCATACAAGAGAGTACTTTAGAACCACTAAAATGTCTATGCAGTAGGAATAGAATACTTAGGAACAGTAGATATACAGTTAAAAACAAAACAGCATGTTCCCATTAGTAAAATGTTAAAATAGATTCATTTGCAAGAAAAGTGTGTGGAAAGATACTGAAAGTTTTAGAGTAATTCTCTTGAAGACAAGATGTAAATGTTCCTTTCAGCATGTCTGCACTTTGTTTTTTCCACAGTGCATTTATCACTTAAAGATTTTGTCACCCTTTCTATTAACTAATTCCAATTCTGGACAGGGAGGTAAACATTCAAGTGAGCTAGACTGAACTGGAAATCTTCATTTAAAAAGTACTTGGCTTTTTAAAAATGCTTTATTAGATAAAATTTGATCACACTGGGCATCTGTTTTTCAGGGATTGTGGAAGATCACCACTTTCACTTCTTTGTCTTACTTAGGGAATCGTATCATGACTTGGTACCATTCCGTATTAGAATTTCTTCTGTGAAGCAAAAACAGTCCCAAAATGAAGGATCCTCAGGTGTCATGGGAACAGCAGATGCTATTAAATCATTGAAGTTAAGAATAGTAAACTGCCTCTGGGATGGTTTTGAATCATCTTGAGATGAAACCTAAGAGAGAAAACAAGATTATCTCATTTTTATACTATACAATAACCATATGACCAGCTTTCTAATTAAGAAGTAATTCCATTTCATTAGCATTAAAGCATAGTACAATTTCTAGAATGTTTTCATTCCTTTTATTAAAATATAAAAGGAATATAAAAAAATGGAAACAAGATCTTGAAGTTTTATGCACAACCATCACCTGTGGCATTAGTTTAAAACATACATTTAATGAACCCCACAAATACAAAGTCTGATTCAACAGACATAAGTTAAAAGGCATCCCAAGATCTGAAATTTTATCAAGCAGAAGTATGCCACAGGCATGTGGAGTTGCTATGATTAATTTGCATAACTGCACAAAGATAACAGTTCTTTAAGAAAACATTGTTTTCTGAGTACCTGTTAGACACAACTGGAACACTTTCCACTTGACTTCATGTGACATGCCAGTCAAAACACACACACTAAAAATACTGTATAAAATTACCTTCGGGCTCTATGTAGGTATATTTGAAACATAAACTTTGTGTTGGGTTCTAACCCCAAAGTGTCTCATTAAGTATAAATATTACAAAATCTGACAAAATACAAAATCCAAAACATTTTTGGCCATAAAGCATTTCAAATGAGGACTAATCCATTTGTACTAAACAATACTTGGGGCATTACACACTGCTGTAACAAAGTTCAGGCCTCCATTTTATATACCTAGGCTGCAACATCACAGGATCTATAGGGGAATCTACTGTTGTCAATGGTTACATAGTCATGCTGTCAAACTGTTTTCTAAATATTTATGTTTATACTCACAGATTTGTGTTGCTCTCAAAAATTTTTTTATAACATTTAAGGTATCAAAATATAAAGCAGGTAACATGATTTTATGGTTTTTTTCATGAAATCCCTGATAATCTTAGACTTGAAAATGAAAGACCTTGTAAACGATAATCTAACAAAAACAAAACCTACCATGACCTCCACCCAATGCAAGGTAAAGTACTGTTTTCATCAATAAAAGAAAAAATAACATTGGCTCATATATCTTTTTTAGACAATAAAGGGGCCTGGAGAGATGGCTCAGCATTTAAGAGCACAGGCTGCTCTTGCAGAGGACCTGGGTTTGATTCCCAGCACCCACAAAGCCGCTAACAACTGTAACTCCAGTTCAGGATCCTACACCCTCTTCTGACCTCCACAGGTATTGCAGGACATGGGTATGCTTACATACATGCAGGCAATACACTCATACACATAAAATAAGTAAACAATATATATAATAAAAGAAAAAAGGAAAAAAATTAAGTCATAAAATCTTACATCTTGATGTCTAGATCCATCAGGTTTCCTAAGAGCAACTGCAACAAAATGGTGTTCATCAATTTTGCTTTCCTAAAACATAAAAGTAAAGAGAGATTACAAAACATAAATCTAGACAAGGTTTTGTTGACATCCTCTAGCCCTTGTTTCCACTCTACACATCTATGCACACGTTTTCCTCTAGGAACCAGATACCACAAAGTACAGATCAAGCATTTCATTTCACTTCATTCACTTTTATGTCGTTAGTCTCTATTTTGACAGTTAACATTTTAAATACAAATCCCAACTCCCTTTTATTAATATAAATGTTGCTCATTTTAGGGTTGAAGAATCTTCTTTGTTGTTTTCTGAGACAGGGTTTCACCATGTAACTCTAGCTGGCCTGCAACTTGCTACATATATACCAGGGTTTTCAGAGATCTGCCTGCCTCTGCCTCTCCAGTGCTGGAATTAAAGATGTGACACTGCCCTGCTAGGATTGAAGAGTTTTAATGATTAGATTTAGGCTATGGGCTCTCAAACCCAGTATCACACAGGTTCACAACAGACATTTACTCCTCACTGGTGATGTCTGTGTGTATACACATATATATTTATACATTAATATAAATATATAATGTCTGTGTGTATACACATATATATTTATACATTAATAAATAAATATATATATATATATATATTTTTAGTCAGGCTGTAACACTGGTTTATAAGCATTTAATTAACTATACTGTAGCTCATAATTTCCTCTCACATTTTATTTACTTACTTATTTGAATGTTTTGCATGCATATATGTGTAAGTGCACTTGTGTGTGCACAATACCTGTGGAGACCAGAAGAGGGTGTCAGATGCCCTGGGACTGGAGTTAAGATGGTTGTTAGCCATCATGTGGGTGCTGGTAACTGAAGCCCAGTACTCTGTAGAGCAGACAGTGCTCTTAACTGCTGAATCATCTCTCCAGCACCAGTCCACAACTTAAGCTTTTTCCACTTGCAATCTCTTTTTGTATGAAATTTGTATGAGAAATTCTGACATGATCATAGGTAGGTAAGATAAAACGGGTATATAAATCAAGCATTTACTGATATAAATTATAAATAAACATTTTAAAACCATTCGTTGCTACATGCACAACTTTCTTATTTATTATAAAAAGCAAATTTACACACTAAAGAAATAAATGTCTTATTTACCTAAAACAAAACAATCGAAAGATATATTAACTGGATATTTACAAGTTAAAGAATCCTGACAGGAAAATAATAAAATTCCTAACTTTAAGAGCACAAGACTTTTTATGTAATTTATGTAAACACACTGCAGTTCATAACATACTAAGTCTCACATCTGAGCAGAATCGTATTAGCAGCTTTTCTTGGCCTTTGTAGTACTGCATGATGACATGCAAATGCAAAGAGAACAGCTGTATGTTCAGGACCAAGACTGTAGTGAAGCCATGCAACAATGCATGATGAGTGAATGTTGTCCGAAACACTGTGGAATCATTATGTGTTTGACTTTAAATTAACTTTTGGTTGTTGCATGTTTACAAATCCGTTGACAAATTTTTGTGGGCTTCACATTTAACTTTATGACCCCATATGGCGTGGTGATCCACAATTTGTCTGTACTACAGCTTATGGACAATCATGGTACAGAGGTAACACTTATAGGCATGCCATTTTCTAGTCTTTCCTATACAACAGAGTGGAAAGGGCTTTAAAATGCAATACACACTGAGGCAGTAAAAAATCATAAATAAATAAAAACGAGCTTGATAGTTAACTAGTTCAGTCAATAATACTGAATTTAAAACTTAGGTTTAAGACTTTTCAATTTGTCAAGAATTTTCTGAATTTATAATTTATTAACCATACAATTATTGTGAATCTCAAAATTTCTACCAACTTTAAAATGAATAATAATAATTTATTACTTCCACTGACAGCCCTGAAGACTGCTATGCTTCAGTACAATACACGATTTCCTTAGTACACACGCCATCTTTATAAAAAAAATGAGATTTTAAGCTGTAAAGTAAAGCATTTTAATTTTACTATTTTTCCTTAAAGGCAAACTACTGAAAAAAGTCTAACTCTGTAAGTTTTAACACCTTACTTCTTGATAAGCCCTTTCTTTTCAAAGCAAAAGCATTATTTCTATCTTTTCTTGTCACTTGAAATTTTTCTTAGTAACTTTGCAAATAGAAACTAGTTACAATCAGAGCCTACAAAAATACTAAATTCCTGCTGGAGGAGGATTTTATCAAGAGTATTTTATTTCCCCAGGTATGAGATATACCATTCAGATTAAGTGGACAATCCTTTGGAACTTCTGCAATAAACAAGGGGTTCTTGATTATATATAAGCTGATGTTTTAAGTCTATAACAGTTTTCTAATTTAAATGCTGTAGCATGTACTGCCCCTGCCCTCAAGGAATATTAAGAATGCAAAACAGAATTGTAAAGGTTCCCAGGTAAAACTTGTTATGTCACGTGAAAAAAAAAACAGAACTTCATAAAACATACTGTTTTACAGAAAACAAGATTTAACTTGTGTGCTGGATAGTTTTAGTGTCAACTTGACACACCTGGGTTGAGGGAGCCTCAGTTGGGGAATTGCCTCTATTGGACTGGCCTGTGGCCATGTCTGAGGGGCATCTTCTTGAGTGATGTGGGAGGGCCCAGCCCACTGGGGGTGGTGCCACCCCTGGGCAGGTGGGCCTGTGTTGCATAAGAAAGCAGGCTGAGCAGGGGCCAGGGGAGCAAGCCAGTAAGCAGCGTTCCTCCATGGCCTGTACTCCAGCTCCTGCCTCCAGGTTCCTGCCCTGAGTTCCTACCTTGGGCTCCCTGATGAACTGCAACCTGGGGGATGTAAGCTGAATAAATCCTTTCCTCCCCAAGTTGGTAGTGGTCAGAGTGTTTTATCACAGCAATGAAGAAACAAACTAAGACAACTTGAACAGTTTAGAAACATGAAAGGGGAGTGGATACTCAAGGACTAATAGGGATGACTTGTAAGGACTAACAGGGGTGACCTCTGCACATTGTGGAGTACGTACTGGGAAAGCATGGCCAAACAGGGCAACTGAAGCAAAACATATTATGTGTTAAAACATAAGATCAGAAATAAAACCTATTCTTTAGCAGAACCCCTAGGTAAATGGGCAGTTCTGACACAAATATTTCCTTTTTAAGATACACCGGCCCTTAGTCCTTGACAGTGTCCTCTTACCATGTCCATCAGTCTTAGCTCCCTCCATGGCCCACCCACCCTTAGATACGGGTATTCTCAGGATCCGCTCCCAGATCTTGTTTTTTCTAACTTAAGTACTCTCACAGCTTCAACTTCCAATCTCTGGTTTCAGGGACCTGTCATAATTGTAGTTACTTTTTCCTCCTTGTCTAGTTCTCCATTCCATCCACTACTTGACTTCTTCACTTGGATATTTCAACAGCATCTCAAATTCAGCAACCCGTTTGTTTTCTAGTGTTCTACATCTCAACAAACAGTCCTGTTTGTCAGTGCAGAGCTCACACATCTTTGACACCTCACTTCTTCAACCTCCACATAGAATCACAAATACGACTTGGTCTTCTTAAAATATAAATCTGATTTTTCTCACTCTCTCCTTAACGCCTGTTAAATTTTCTTGAGAAAACCAGTGCATACATTTTATCCCTTCACTGCTAACTCTGGGGGATGGACCTTCTCTGCAAATCATTTAGGGGATTATAGTAAGGAACACTACATTATAATGGAGCCTGTTTGCTCGGCTTTGCACTGCTAACAGGAGAGACAGTGATCACAACCACTTTAGACCATTTCTGTGGCCACAAAGATTGGTCTGGAGAGAGATGCCCAACCCAATGTAGGCCAGAGAGGTCCCACTCCTGGGATTTGAGGGCCTGGAACACAAATAGGATCACTAACTTCATTTTTAAGCAATGAACTAATACATGCAGGAATACTGGGCATTATATGCAAGAACACTAAGGCAGTTGTGTTTCCTGTGAGGCAACACAATAGAGAAACTGAGAAAGCCAGTGTATAAATAAGAGGATCTAGAGAAAAGTGAAGCCAAGGTATATAGCAACCCATGTATAAAAGGCAAGAGCCGAGTACTTCATTTCCTAATTTTAGCCCCTTCTTAAGCCCAGTTTCTGAACCATTCCAGTGGCCAATGCACTCCTCGCTTCAATTTCTCTTACAAGCAGCCATGAATTAACAACAAAAAACAAACACACATAGAAGTCTAAAGTCTCTAAGCTGATCAATGACATCCTAGGAGCCTAAGTCACACTCTCCCAAATCCTTTCATCGTGGTCCAGTTACATAACTACCAGTGGCTGCTCATACGGAGCTTTCTTCCAGGGCCTCTATTTCCTTCCCATTTTCCTTAACTCAACAGGAAATTCAAGAATTAGCTTACAAGTTGTATGCTCTCACAGAATCCCTAACTTCATCTTCAGAACATCAGTATGGGATTCCTCCGGTGTCTAATTTCAATAAATACCACCCCAGATAATTCTGGTATATATGCACAAGTATCAGAGTCTTAAAAAAATTATTATAAATTTCTTACCTCAAATGCCCATTCTTTTTCTTCTTCCCCATCCAGGAACAAACGTGTTTCTTTATAAACCTGGCCAATATCCAAGTTTAACGGAGATACATCAAACTCAAGCCGCTGCAATTCAAATCCCAATCCAACACCAATGGCTTTAATGAAGCTTTCTTTCAATGCCTAAGAAAGAGAATTCGGTAGTTAAAACTTTTCATAAAATTTACAGTGTTAATGTATTTGGATTTCTAACTCTATGTTATAACTCTAAGCTTTAAAAAAAGATTTTTGTCCATTGGAAACAAATCATCTATGTGATGTTAAGTTAAATCATTCACGATCTCTGTGTCTCCTTTCTCTCAAGTGTAAACTATAATGACCAAACAGCACCATCCTCAATAGGGATATGAGAAATAACTAAATTATAAAGAGCTGAAGTGATGTCCTCTGGTAATTAAGACTCATGTGTATGAGTTTAAGACAAAAAACATGATCATAAGTAATGCTAAATAAAATGCTTTACTTTATAGATTTGAAAGTATCTTCTAATTATACATTAATACTGGTTAAATTTCTCAAAAATTAATGTTGCAATAATATAAAATATGCATAAAAAGAATAAAGTTCTCAAGAAACTGCACATTAAACATTATATGGTACTATTAGGTAATCAAAAAGGCTTTCTCACTTGTATTTCTAGTGAAGATACTGGAATCATTACAGACTATGACTGTGAAAAAGTTACAAAGAAATTATACCCAATGCCTGTAAAACATATCCAGCTGAGTCCATTCATCATTAAAGCTTCTGATTGTTTCCCACTCCTTATTGGTAAACTTTCTTTTCATAATATGAAAGAATTCTGGAATTGAACCACGACCTGTCAAATCAGAGAATACAGAATTTAAAATAACTATTCAATTGAAAAAGAAAGGAATACTTTAGAAGGGCTATGTTATCGCTTAACTACTAAAAGCAGCAAAAAACCAAAAACAAAACAGAAACAAAAACCAAAACCCAAAAACCAGAAACGAAGTTACAGGCCAATCCATTCAGAAACAATAATCCTAAATGAGCACTTGCCTAGCATGTGGAAGGCCCTGGATTCAATTCTTAGTACTATAAACAAGCAGTAAAAGAAATAATCCTTAACAAAATACCAACAAATCAAAGTTAGCTGGGACAAGCATGGGTTAGCGTAGAAACCTGTGAAATTGTGAATTAATTCATAAGGAAGATATTGCATAGGACTGTCCCCCAAAAGGAGGCATAGGCAGATGCCTTCTTCCCAAGCTTGGTTGCACCTGCTTGCCTAGGATCATCACAGCTAAGCTTGTTCACTGTTACTCTCAGCAAAAAAAAGAACGGGCAAAGACAGTCAGCCACACCTCCCACTCAACCATCTGGCTCTAGCTGCACAAGGGGGAGGGGCTAAGGGAATACAGAAAGGAGAAGGGTAAGCTCGCTCACCATCAGTGCAGCTGTGGACAAGTCACTATCCACACTTGGATGCAGACAGTCCATTGTGCCCTTAGAAGGGGAGCACCCACACTCCTAGAAGTAAACCCTCGCCCATGGCTCTGTAAGCCAACTCCAATAAACGCTAGTTTCCCAGACTGCAGTTTGGTGAAACTACCTCAGTTTGTCGCAGGGACCAAAGGAGAAGCGGAGTGGACATTGTTTACGCTTCCCAGAAGGAATTTTAGCTACAGCAGAAAAACCTTGTTACAAAAATGCTAAAAAATGTAGAAATACTTAGCAATCAAACCTGTTACAATTTTAAAATAACTGAAAGGAAATTTCCTATCTTTGACAGAGTATTTCTCAGAAATACAAAGAAAATACTCATTACAGTTATGCTATTTGGGGGTTTAAATTTTGACCCTGCTGTATTACTGGGGGAAAAGGAAAAGTCTTATAATTGTTGGTAACTGGAAGGCTACTGAACAATATTATGAACACTGTTTATTCTAAGTTATTCTAAGTTATAATATACTTATTTCTCTGAAAATAACTGCTTAAAGCATACTTTCTATGGGGCTAGAGAAATGGCTCTGTGGTTAGGAGTGCTTGCTGTTGTTCTTCAAGAGGACCAGAATTTGGTTTCCAGCACCTGTGTCGGGCAGCTCACAACAGCCTGTAACTTCAGTTACAGGGGCTCTGAAGCCCTCTTCAGGCATCTTATGGCACCTGTACATACAGAGCTTATGCTCACATATAGACACACACACATACATTTTTAAAAGTAATGCTTTTTAATATAACTTCTTCAAATAAAAGTAGTATTTTACACATGCTGCCATGAAATAAGCTCATTTGCTAAAATCTGAGATACAGGTTAGCAAGAACATTCCAAAGACAAAAATATACTGCAGAAATACTATACCAGTATTACGAATACTGGTACACTTAGTTTTTAAGACTAGGCCTGAACCCAGAGGACATTCTTTCTACCAGATATCTCTTGGAACTGTCTCCTGGAACTGTGTCCTCAAGTCAGGTCCTACCCACGATTTTATTCAATATGGTTTCTCCAGCTTCACCCAGGGAAGTATAAGCTTGGCTCCATGTTTATCTTAACATAATAACATCCAGCCTTTACACCCCTAGTTCTAAAACATCTCATTCACTCAAGGTCATGCAACTTTCCCAGTCTTCACTGTAGATGGATGTAGTCTTTCAGGGCTTTGTTATGTTAACTCTCAAGCACACCCATATTCGTTATTTTTTGGATGGAGCACCAAATTGAGGTTGTCAAGGAAACGAGAACAGGTGGCCAGGTCACAAGACACAAGAGGTTATGGTTTTGCTGGAGTTAATTAAACGTCATTACTTCAGATTATGTCCATTTTATAAAAGTCATTCCTATAATATGTTAAAGAGCACTCCAAAAATAAATGACAAATAAAGGATACAACTTAAAAGGATTTTGTTCACAGAACCTAAGCTACAAATTAAAATACATGGTAGGCCTCTTTGATTTTTTAAAGATATCAGAATTAGAGTTTAGAAATTAGAAAACTTTTTATAACTACAAATACAACACAACTATGAATTGAACTAATAGGCAAAAATAAATGGATCGTAGTTCTTGGCATCCTATGTTCACAACCTAAGCAGCTTATTAGAGAGAGCGCTTGGGCCTCTATCGATGAACTATAACTACTGGAGGAGTAAGTGAATGCTAATTGTTTGGCTTACTACTTCCTGACTGTTTTGTCTTACATCCTGGACTTATGACATTATATCATTTTCCTGAAAACCTTCTGAAGGTTAATCTCTGTGCAGACTACCAACAGCATATCTATACCAACTTTCATTTCTAAAATGCCCATCTCCAAAATGTGGCATTTCCAACCATATGACTGCAAGTTGTTAGGTGATAGCTTCTGCCTCACCCTCTATGAGCATTTCTTATGGGGAAAAGTGGGTCTGGAACAAAAAAAGTTAAGTTCTTTTATAATGCATTACAGGCACATAATCACCAAATCCCCCCCACAGAATTCAACAACTAGAATTTCATGATGATCACATTATTACAATCAAGTGGTAGATATAGGAACATCTTCAGAATAGACTCTTCCTTCATAAGGTTTACAACTTTTCCTACCTTAAGCATACTATCTCTCCCATAGTAACTCAAAGTTAGAAAACATTACAAATCAGTTTTCCCACAAAGATGTTAATGATTCCCCCATAGCTCCCACTTCAATAGTGAAGACAGTCTTAGGAATACTTATGATCCTAAAATTATACGACGTATGTTGTGGTGGTTATGAGAATGTCCTCCTATAGGGTCCAAGTAGTTGGACATTTTGTCCCTAGTTGGTGGCATTGTTCTAGGTGGTTTTCGGAAGCGTGGCATTGCTGGAAGAAGTGTGTGTCTGGGGGCAGACTTTGGAGAGTTCTTTAAGCCTTGCCATATTTCCGTTTGAGCTCTGCTTCCTGTGCCTGCTTTAAGATGTGAGCTCTTTCTACTGCGGCCACCTCTTTCCAGCATGCCTCCCCACCATGATGGGCTCTGGAACTGTAAGCAAAAACAAGAACAAAAGCCCTCTTCCCTCTATAAGTTGCTTTGGTCAGTGTATTTAATCACAGCAACAGAAAAGGTAACGGATATAGAAGTTGGTACCAGAGAGTGGGCTGTTGGCTGTGAAGAACCTGACCATATGGGTTTTTAGAGGAATGTGGAAGACTTTGGAAGTTTAGACTAGAAAAGCAGTTGAATGCTATAAGTGGAGCTTAACAGGTCCTTCTAGTAGAAGCCTGGAGGAAAGCAGTGTTGAACAATGTAGGTACAGAAGGAAATAAGGACTTAAGCAGCAACTGGGATATTTTGGCAGACCCTTGCTGGAGTCTGCCCACAGCCTAAAAGCTCGTCTGAGGTTAAGTTGAAAAGAAGTGGACTAATTTCTTTGGCAAAGGAAATTTCAAGACAGCCTAACACAGAAATAGTGGTGTGGCTACTAATGGTTACTGTTATACTGATCTACAATGAAAACGAGAGAATGGAGCAGAAAGAACTGCAGAATGTACAGTTCGGATTGAAAAGAGCACTAGAAAGGTTAAAGCTGGAGCCAAGGAAAGTGGTGGAGAGGTGCCTTCTGTTAAGATTAAGAGCAATTATGGAGAGGCCTAGAGATTACACCTAAACAATGGAAAGAGTACCTTCAGGACAAGACCATTCCCACCTAAGCTTCCAACCAGTAGTAGGAAATGTAGGGGTTTTCTACTCCTAGAAAACCACAACATAGAAAAGCTGTTGGAACTGTGGGTGAAGCATGCCAAAATCTACCCCAGGTTGGTAGCTGAACTTGGCTTTAAAGGCATGAAAGATGTAAGAGTTAAGGGGTCACTGGTTCTTCCTCCTTGGTTTCAGAGATCCTTAAGGCCAGGCAGTGTGCACCAGGGGCATCCCTACATAAAGGAGGTCCTGATAGGTCACTGAGAGAAGCTTTGATGGTGATGTCTGATTGTCTAGCAGAGAGCCCAAGATGTTGGAGAAGCTAGTGCTCTGAGACATTTACCAAGGAGAACTGCATACAAGTGGTACCAACCCAAAAGAGATGTTGCACTCAGAAAAACTGGAGGGGCTGAGCCATCTAAGTCCTTTGGGAAGTAAAGCCACAGAAGTCCGACATCGTTACGAGATTTCCATCTAGTATTTCTCTATTATGTACCCATTCTTCCCTTTTGGAATGGTAATGTGTATTCGGTTCTATTGTATGTTGAAGTATGTAACTTATCTTTTGATGTTTCAAGGGCTTACAGTGAAGAGATCGTTTTGAAACTCAGAGAGACTTTAGACTTAAAAGAGTATTGAAATAGGCAAAGATTATGGGGACTTTTGAAGATGAACTAAATGTATTTTGTATTCTATATAGTTTTGAGTCTATGGAGGCCAGGGAATGGAATGTGGTGGTTTGGATGAGAATTTTCCCTATAGGCTCTAAGTACTTGGGTAATGTGTCTCCAGATGGTTCTGGAGGTTGTAGGAGGTGTGGCCTTGTTGGAAGACGTGTGTCACTGGAGGCGGGCTTTGAGAGTTCTTAAGCCTTTCCATTATTTACATTTGAGCTCTACTTCCTATGCCTGCTTCAAGATGTGAGCACTCTGGTTTCTACTCCCAGCCACCTCCTTCCATCATGTCTCCCTGCCATGAACTGTAAACTCAAACTCTTCCTTTTATAAGTTCCTTTGGTCAGTGTTTTATCATAGCAACAGAAAGTAACTACTACAAAGCACTTTAGATCAAGACAATAATTCTCATCCATTTTCAAGTACTACGTACTATACAGTGTGATCTTAAGAGCCCTATAACAAAAAATTCTTAGTTTTGGGTCACGAATAGATCTTTTCAGTGATCTGGTGCTTACTTTT